TGCTGTCCTGGGCCCCCCTTGGTGGTGGCCGACTGCCTGGAGGAGGGCCCAGGGGAGGGTGTTCGCCCCGCCCCCCCATCGGGGGTTTGGCGTGGCAGGTGGGCCGGGTTTGGACAGGAGCCTTCGCGTCCCCTAGGGTCAGTCGTCCGTGCCTTTCCGGGTCTTGGGTTCCCCAGGTGAAAAGCAAGTTTGCGGACTTGATTTTCTTGAGGCTCCTTAAAATTTTGGGTTTTTGCAGCTAAGATCGTTCAGTCTTTGATGGGGGGTTAAGGGGCTGCGCTGTTCGCCTCCGCGGCGCTGCGTCCTGGCAGCCGTGCATGCCGGGCGCCTGTGCCAAGCGAGCCGCCGTTTCACGCGGCTCCAGGGGCCTGGGCGCTGCCCTGCGGCGGGGGCTCCCTCTTCCTCCCTCGGACCCACTCTTCAGGCGGGACTTGCGCTTTCCAAGGCAGCCGTGGGTTCCCTGATGCCGCTGTTGTCTGTGGGCACTTTTCCTTCTTCCTTCCCGACAGGTGCGCCTTGTCTTGCCTTATTGAACTTGCTGGGATCTCCAGTACAGTGTTGATAGAAATAAAGCCATGCCTTGCCATGTTTTGAGTTTTAGGGGCAAATCATTTACTTTACTGTTAAATATGGTTTAAATTGTAAATTGTTCACGGGTGCACTTTATAGATTGTCATTGTTCCTTCCTACGCCTACGTTGGTGAGATTTATAAAAAAATCATAAATGGGTTTTGAATTTTGTCAACTGCATTTTCTGAAGCCCTTGAGATGATCATGTAGCTTTTCTTTTTCTTTTTTTGTCTGTTAATAGTTTCTTAATATGAATAACATGCATTTTCTGATGTTAAAATAATATTGCGTTAAGATAAACTTATTCGGTCTTAATGCACTACCCATTTTACACATTACTGTATTTGGCTCAGTGCTATTTTGTTAAGAGTTTTTACATCAAAGTTCATGAGGAATATAGGCCTATAGTTTTTCCTGTGTAAACTCCTGTCTGATTTTGGTATCTGGGCAACACTGGCCTCACAAAAACAATGAGGACCAACTCTCCCTTCCTCTGTTTTCTGAGGATGTTTGAGTAAAAGTGGTTCTATCCTTGATGTGAAAGTTTGGTAGAATTCAGCTGGGAAAACATCTGAGCTTTTAGGAGGGTGGTTTAAATGATGAATTCAGTGTCTTCAACTGCCATAGGGCTCCTCAGGTTTTCTGTTTCTTCGTGGCTCCACTTGGTAATGTGTCCACTCTACCTAAGTTGGTGAATCTGTTGGCACTAACTTGTTTACATTATTCCCTTATTATCCTTTTAATGTGTATAGATCTGTACCAAAAGACAGCCCTCATTTTTATTGTCGATATTGGTCATTAGTTCCTCTTTTTCCCTTGATGAGCTTAACCTAGAGGGTTGTCGCTTCTATTGGTATTTTCAAGAACTAGCTTTTGGTTTGATGGCTGTTTCTTTAGTGTGTGTCCACATTCGCTTTGGTCACAGCTCGATCCTGTGTCCCTTGCCAGCCCCTGCCCAGCAGGCGCAGGCCATGCCTTCCCCGCCCCCGCGGCCCGTGGCGCTCCCCGGCGGGGGGCTGCCGCGTGTCTCAGACGTCCTGGGCTTGTGTCTTCGAGGAGACGTGGGCCCCTCAAGGTGCGACCGTGTCTTCTGCCACGGCCCCTCACCACGCGGGAGACGTTCCTCCCGGGCGGATGGGTAGATGGGTGGAGGGGTGGATGGGTGGAGGAACGCTCCTCTGAATGATTTGCACAAGCGTCAGGAGGGCGGGCTGCTTGGCTGTAGGGCTCCGGGCTCCTGTCCTGGCTGCGCTGCTTCCTGGTGAGTGGCCTGAGCCAGTCATCTCGCTGCTCTGAGCCTTGTCGGGGAGAACAGGACTTCCCTTATAGGGCTCTTGAGACTGTTGAAGTCAATACAAATCGATCACTCAGCAGAGTATTTGGCACTTAGTAGGTGCTCAGTAAAAGGGAGCCATTGAAAAACCATTCATTTTAGCTTAGCAATCAGTTGTATGCCTAGAAAACAAATATATTTTTCTTTAGTCCCTTGCCCATCACCGATTTCTGCGATGGTCTCTTCTCAAAGTTGGGACTGCAGCGCACCCTGAGAAGGGACCGTCCCTTGGCAGAGCGGTGCGTGGCCTCCGCTTACACTGTGATTGAGAAACATGAACATCCTGCATCTTTGCCTTACCAACCACTCTATGGTTTTATTAAAATATTCTAATTTATGCAGCTGAGAAGGCTTTTTTAATCAAGGAAGAAAGGCAGTAATACTCAATAATTTCACGAAAACCTTTTCTGTTCTTGATTTTCATAAATTAGACAGATAGTTTCTCTATAATTATATCTTTTCCTTGATTCTCTACAGAGCAAAGAAACATCCAATTTTAAGAAAATAGAAACAGACTATTTCTTCTTTGTTATATGGGACTTTGTAGTTCTCTATCTCAGTGTATTTTTTTACTGAGTTCCCCGAAGATTTCTACTGCATCACTCCCTGGAGGGGAGGTTTAAAGTTACCCTAAAAAACAAACAAAAGCCAGTGTGACATGTTTTGTTACTGAACACATTCTGGCTTTGCAAGGCCATTCCTGAGTATCTGTTTGCTTTCTTGACCAGTATACTTGCCATAGAAGAAGTGGCTCTGTGTGTGTTGGAGGAGGGGTTGGCGTCCTCTGTGTGTTTGTTGATTTATCCAGATACTTGTTCACTCAGTTTACTCAGCGTTTTCTGAGTTTTCGGAGACCACGGCCACGCCCTGTCCGTCTTGCTGTAGGCGCAGAGCAGCTCTCTGGACGTGTGCGCGTAAGTGGAAGACTCGCCCCACCCAGTGAAAGCCACCCGGGCACCTGGATTCCCAAAGGCTACGGGGCTGTGTGCGCATGGGGGTCTCCTCGCCTTCTGATGATGATGGGGGGGAGGTTCAGAAAGCATAAGGCACGTTCCCAGGAAACCCGTTCACAGGAAGTCGGCAATCCTTGGGCAGTGATAGGACAGTGCTTTGGGAAAAGGATTTGAGATTTTTGGTGAGTCCAAAAGATGATCCTTGCATATTAAGAAACAAAAACAAAACACCTGTATTTCTCTGAGCCCCGGTAAGTGGGGAGGCATGGGAGTCTTCCGGGAGAAGGCGGGGCTTTCTCTGGGCCGGGAGGAGCTAGTAGGGCTCCTGTGCTGGAGAGGACCAGGAAGGGCCCCGGCGGCGGGAGAGGCTTGTGTGCGGGCTGCAGGGAGGTGCGTGTCAGAGCAGGGCTGGAGGACTCGGACAGACGGTCCTCCAGGGACGACGCGAGATGGCCCGTGAGCAGTGAAAACATGCGTCATTCCACTCATTGTTAGAAAAATGCAATCAAAATCACCACGAGGCACTGCTTGATGCCCCAGGAGGGCTATTATTAAACACAGGAACAACAGCCCCCCAGACCAGGAATAACATGTCGTCGAGGATGTGGAGAAGTTTAAACCCTTGTGCATTGCTGGTGGGAATGTAAAGTGGTCCAGCCACTGTGGAAAATGGCTGGGTTCCTAATACAATTAAATCTATGTAAGTAAATGTATACCCCAAAAAATCGAAAGCAAGGGTCTCAGAACAGGTATTTGTATGCCCCTGTTCATAACAGTATGATTCACAACAGCAAGAGGTGGATGTAGCCCCGCCACCCACGGACGGACGGACGGACGGACGGATGGACGCATGGACGGACAAACACAATGCAGTCTATCCAGACAGTGGCCTGTTTTTCTGCCTTAAAAAGGAAGGAAGTTCTGATGGCTCTGCAGCATGGGCGACTCTGGAGGATATTATGCCAAGTGAATTAGGCCGGACACAGAAGGACGAAAACTGCCGGGTTCCACTTGTGTGAGGTTTCCAGGCTGTCGGACTCGGACAGAAAGGGAATGGCGGGGGCAGAGGCGAGCGCGGGGAGTCTGCGTGTTGTTCGGTGGAGCGTGGGGAGACGACAGTCCCAGGGGTAGGCAGTGGCGCTGGTCATGCCACGGTGTGTGGGTGCTTAATGCCACAAAACTGTGCGTTTAAAAATGCTCAAAAGAGTGCATGTTATGTTATGGGTATTTTGCTGTGAAAAAAATGTGAGCAAAGGACAGTGATGGCACTGGACTCCATCCGGTCAGGTCCACGCTAAGCCGCGTGGCCTCGGGAGGTCAGGGGCCAGGGCCCCGGGGGAGGCAGGAGTTTATCTGACCCGCGCCTCCCGTGCTGACACTGCCATTTTTCTCATCGAACCTCCTGCAAAGTCTAGCGAGCATGGGACTCATCACTGTTCCCATTTAGTGGTTGAGGGACCGAGGCCGAGTGGGGAGGGGACGGGCCCGGTGCTCCTGGCCCCCTCTCAGCCTCTGCCTTCCCCCAGCGAGACTGGACACTCACCTGCCCCGTGCCCTTGGCATTTGATGCCCCTCCCACAGAGGCCTGGGCGTTTGCTTCATGGGACAGTGGGTCCGGGCAGGGACGGTGTGCGCGGCGGGCGGGGGCTGGGCTGGCAGGAGACCCCTTCTCCACGCTGGGCTGTCAGGAAAGCCCCCACTCAGCCTAGAGCGGTTCGCTGACCTCAGAGCTGATTCCTTCCTGTGGGCTCTGCCCCGGGAGATGGAGTCTCGCCCTGTGCCTCTTGGAAGGCCTCGTCTCTCCCCTGGGCCTCTGGCTTGGGGTGGCCCTGTGGCCGTGCGTCTCCGTGGCTTCGAGCCTTTCCTGGCCATGGGCCTGGAGCCCCACCGTGCCCGATGTGTGTGTCCTTGCTAACGTGCTGCATCCCAGCCCCAAGTGACACCAGAGCCCCTTCCATTGGTGCTCACGGTCAGAGAGTGGCCAGTGTCCGCACAGGCAGTCGCCGGCGGCGCGGGGCTGGGGTCATGGGGCAGGAGCGACACTCTACCAGCCGGGGCGTCTCCATTCATATCTGTGTGCAGTCTGCCTCCTGCAGGGACGCCGGCCCCTCGGGGGCTCTCACGCCTTGTCTCCATCTCCGCAGGCCCTGGAAGCGGTCCTGCACTTCAAGTACTCCGGAGGCCCGGGCCACGCCGCGGGCTACCACAGGAGCCTGTCCCTGGGGCTGCGCGCGGAGGTGGAGCCATCGGTGTTCTTCACCCGGGTCAGCACGCTGCCGGCAACCAGGTGAGCAGCGGGCCTGTCCCTGCGGTTGCCGCCTCCTGGAGGCTGATGTGTCGGGGTCCCAACCTCGGGGTTCCCCTTGGCCCCGCCTCCCGTCGTGTCTGCAACTTTGGGCCAACTTGCTGAGACTCCTGGGTCTCAGGTCCTCGTGAGGCGAACAGGCAGCGGTGAGTGAAGGGGCGTCCCCCCTCCCAAGAGGCTGCAATGGTCGCATCAGCACTCCCGCATGCTGTCTGTGGTCGCCACCGTGCAGGACGTGGCCCCGTGCGAGCCCCATGCCTGGTCCCCGTTCTGCTGGCCTGTGCTGGGGACACCTGGAGGGGTCCAATGGCTCTTTCTGCCTCACGTCTGGCATCCCAGAAGAGCTGTGTGTGGGGCCAGGCTGCTCAGCGGGGGCCTCACTTTGCAGAGCCGCCCTCTCTCTGGAGACTGGGCAGTGTCTGCCCGGGGCCGTCCTGCCCAGAGGCCTCCCTCCTGTCTCCTTGGCCAGACCTGGCCCTCCTTTGGGAGGAGGAGGTCAGACAGCGCGTCTGCTACAGACCCAGGAGCAGCCGGCGGCATGGGAGGTGTCCTTCTGTGACAGGCAGGATGACAGTTTCCCACCCAGAACTTGCCCCGTGGTGAACTGGGGCCACGGGGCTGAGAGTGCTGCTGGGGCGTCAGCTCATAGGCCCCTCTACCGCTCGGTTCCTGGCCCAGGCGCCCAGCAGCCGTGGGGAGCAGGCCCCGAGCGCCCCGAGCGCTGCCCGGCTTTCCCATCGGGGAGCCTTCCGTTCCGGGGAGCACGGCCTGGGGTCGCTGTTTGCCGTCAGGGGAGTTTAGGCAGTAGTGCTGACACACTGACCCGCCGGCGTGGCCTGGCGCCTGGAGAGGACAGCACATTCGGCCCAGCTGTCTGTTCCCCGGGGGTGCTGGTGCCGTGTGAATGTTGATATAAGGCTCCTTTTAAAGTGATGCGGTCCGAAATAATAAGTGTGGTTCTGGTTTATAGGAAAGACTGTTTGTCTTCCCCAAAATTGGAGAATGGCTTGGGCAAGGATTAATGGCGTCGCTGGGGCCCTTTAACACCCTGTTTCATCACCTGCCACTTTCTGCGCCCCAGAGAACAGCCTTCCTGGCTGCAGCTGGCCTCGCTCGGGGTTCGCGTGAAGCACGGCCCCTGGGGAGGCCCTGGCCGCGCTGCCGGCGGCTCTGGGAGGGATTCAGGCCCTTGCTGTGCTCCAGGCCTCTCCTTCCCCGGCTGGGCTGCACCCCCTGCCCCTGCTGCGCACACAGCTCCTGGACGCTGTGCCCGCCGAGTTGGGTCCTGTCGCCCTCTGGCGATCTGGCTTCCGTGCCACGGCTGCTGCAGCCTTACGTGGCAATTCCGCGCATGGGGAGTGCCGGCCTTCCAGGGCGCAGACCCGTCCTTGGAGGAGCTGCCGGGGAGCTGAGGGGCTCTCCGGCTCCTGCCCTCCCAACCTGTTGTCCTGGCCCTGCTCACTTTCTTCCTGCTCTTGGGGCTGAGATTAGATTCCCTCTAATTCTCCCCTTCTGTTCCCGCGAAGCCCATCGATCCCGGGCCCTCTGACACGGCTCCTGAGGGCCCTGTGCACCCACAGCTTCCAGAAGTAGTTGCCTGCTCACCCGCTGCCTCCCGCCTCATCCTGCCTCGTCTGGCCAGAGCCTCCCCAGTGTGGAGGAGGTAAAGCCGCGCACCTGCCAGGCCCTTCCTGTTCAGCCCTGCGTGTCCCGTTCCTCTGCCGCTCCCGTGAGAGAGGGGGCCTCTCAGCATCCCTAGGCTAAGCCGGGACAGCGTGCCTTCGCACACAGCGACTCGGTTCTTTTCCTTCAGCTACCGCCCCTTCACCCAGCCTTTTGGGAAATGTCTATTGACCATTGGCAATCTGTGTTGCTGTGTTTGCAGAATCTTCCTGAATGGGACTAGGGAGAGTGGGCCGGCCCTTCTGTGGGCTGCCCTGTGCCTCCTGGCACCTCGAGGGAGGCCCTGGCCAGCCAAAACCCGTTCACAGCGCTCCCCGGGCCCCACGGCCGCACGAAGCCTCCGGGGCTGGGAGCGGCCAGCGGCGCGCCGCCTGTGCGTCTCAGCAGCCCGAGCACAGTCCGCGTGTGGAAGTGCCGCCAAGTGGGAGTGTGGATCCACCTGGAGGGGCGACGGGGGCCTGCACCCACAAGTCCGTGGACGGGCCTCGGGCGTTCCTTCCCTCACTCCTGAGTTTCTCTCATAGGCTGTTACTGTTTAAAAAAGAAACGATACGCTTAATTTTGTGTTGTATATCCTATGCAGAAGTAAAATAAGTAACAAAATGCAGCAGGAAGAAATGGAAGAGAAAAGGAAGGGGAGTTGGAAGCTTTAATGCAAAATGTTGTATCATTTGTGGATAGAAGGTGGTAAGTTAAAGGTGCACCTTGTAAACCCTCGAGCCACACCTAAGGTGTGGGTGATAAGCCAGAAGAAATAAAATGGAACACTAAAAAACACTTAATTCAGGCAGGGGGAATTGTTGGCCAGAGAGGAGGCTGGAGGAGCCCAGAACACAGGGTCGCATAGGAGACACGCAGCAGCGTGGTGGCCTGGACCCGCTGTGCCAGGAAGTCTCTTACGCACCAGCGGGCTGCGCGGCACGTTTAGAAGTGGAAATTGTCAAGCCGTATGAGGAAGTAGCATCCAACTATATGTTTTCTTCAAGAAACGTGATGCATGCACAGTTTAAAAGCCACACGATAGGGAAAACACACATACCATACAAACATGGATCATCAGAAAGCCGGGTGGGTATATTGGTACCACACAGGTTAACTTCCAGGAGCAGGAGGATGGAGAGGAAACTCGCCAATGACAGGAGGGTCAAGCCACCCAGAACGTCCAGCGGCCCTCAGCGCAAATGCACCTGAAGCGCAGCCTTGGAGCCAAGTGGGCCTCTGCCGGGGGAGCGAAGGGGGAAATCGTGGTTGGAGATTTCCACGTCTGTCTCTTGTATTTGATAGAAAAAGCAGAAAATCAGTAAAAATGGAAAACTTCTCTCAATCAAAATCCCAGAAGGATTTTTATTTTGAGTGGATGGAAATTGACAAACTTTTTAAAAAAATTATTTCAAAATGGAACAGACTATTGCCAATGAAATAGGCAAATAACGTGACAAGAAAGAACAAAGTTGGAGGACTTAGGCCATGTGATTTTCAGACAAGGTAAAGCAACCGAGAGGATGCTAGTGTTGTAAAGGTAGAGAGACCAATGGACCGTAACAGTCCCCAAAATAAGACTCACTCATATGTGATCAATTGATTTTTTTTTTAAAAGGTATGGAAACAATTTCATGTGGAATGAAGTCTTTTGAACAAACGATGCTGGAGGAACTAGATATATTTGTGTGGGGGGAAAAACTTTGACCCATACAGCACATCAGATACAAAAATTCACATGAGATGGATTCTAGACCTAACTAAGAAAAACTCCAACTGTAAACCTAAGGAAAAAGAAGCAGAGTGCCCGCATAGCTTGGTGGGGGCAGAAACTACTGACCATGACACAGAAAGCCGACAGGATGGGTCTTGTCGAATTCAAAAACTACAGCTCATCAAAAGGCAAGCTGCGCACCGGGACATACTGTTTGCCATACATTTCTGCAGCCAAGGCCTGGTGCCCAGTATCTGTAAGGAAGCCCTAAAATTCAATACTAGAGAGACAGATGTGAAAAGTGGGCAGAAGCCTCGAGCAGATATTTCACAAAGGAAGGTCCGCAAGCGGCCCATGAGCACCTGCACGCGCTCGACGGATGAGAAGTCATCGGTTCCTCGGAGACTTTGTGTATCTTCTCCTCTCCTTAGTATTGGTGATTCGTGCAGTTTTCTCTTTGGTAATTTGTTGGAAAAAATTTTTTAATTGTATTTTTCCATGACCACTTAGCCCCCCTACAGGCCCCCCCATCACCACCCTATTGTCTACGTGAGTCCTTTTTCCTCAGTCCCTTCCCCCCCACCCCCCAACTATCTGTCACCTGCTCGCCATCTATGAATCTGTCCTCATTTTTCTTGTTAGTTCAGTTTGTTCATTAGAGTCCACATATGAGTGAGATCATATGGTGTTTGTCTTTCTCTGACTGGTTTATTTCACTTAGCGTAATGTTCTCCAGGTCTGTCCATGCTGTCGCAAAGGGTACAATTTTGTTCTTTTTTTTCAGCCGAGTAGTAGTGCATTGTGGAAAGGTGCCCTCGTTTTATCCACTCATCTACTGAGGGGCCCTTGGGCTGCTTCCACATCTTGACGATTGTAAATAATGCTGCAGTGAACATAGGGGTGCTTATGTTCTTTCGAATTAGTGTTTTGGGTTCCTTTGTATGTATTCCCAGAAGTAGAATAGTTGGGTTATAAGGCAGATGTATTTTTAATTTTTTTATGTATCTCCTCTCCGTTTCCACAGCGGCTGCACCAGCTGCCTTCCCACCAGCCGTGCACGAGGGCCCTCCTTCTCCGCATCCTCGCCTGCACTTGCTTGTTGATTTACTGGTAACAGCCCCTCTGACAGGTGTGAGGTGAAATCTCGTTGTGGTTTTAATTTGCATTTCTCTGATAATTAGTGACGTTGAGCATCTTTTCATGTCTATTGGCCATCTGTGTGTCCACTTCAGAGAAGTATCTATTCAGGTCCTTTGCCCACTTTTTAACGGGGTTGGTTGGTTTTTTTTTTTTGGTGTGGAGTTCTGTAAATTCTTTATAAATTTTGGATATTAACCCCTTATCAGATGCATTGATCATTGGTAATTTCTTACTGGTGACACGCAGCAAGAAACACCATTTATTCGGGGCCGCCTCCGTTCTAGTGTCATAGGCGCCTTGCGCTCAGGGTCCCATTGAGACTCTCGAGAGCCCGCCGACATCGGCATCGCTGTCTGGACGTGGCAGCGAGCTTGCCCTCTGCTGCATGTCACCCATGCAGGTGGAGAGGGGGCGTGAACTGTGCCTTCTTGGCGCAAGAATCCATGCCTTCGGCCCCAGGCCCTCC